TAGTTCTCTACTCGCATTTGAATGCTTTCGAACTGCTAGGCAGACGGGAGCTGAGGCAAGTAATGGGAACTCAACCCACTTTGCAGTGTGTTCAGGTCTCGAACCCGGGCTGTTCAGCTTTCCAGGCTGAAAAGCTCAATCTTTAACCACTGAGCCACCGCACCCCCATCTGATCTATAGTATCGTATTTGTAAGACCAGACTACAAAACACTTGAGATCTGGATCGTAGTCAAGCACAAGCTTAAATCCAGCCATTTAAGAGGATGTAATAAATGGGCTTTTCAAAAAAAAAAAAATCTCCAGGTTTTTAAAAAGTCAAGATGGTGAGGATGATGATTATGTAGAGGAAGAGAAGGAGGAAGATTTCATGTTTAATGAAACCAGGGTCAATGTTATATACTACTTGAGTGCTGTATCTTCTCTCTGGACTAAGTTTTAACTTTCCCTACCTAATATGTTCTAAATCAGGACGAGCAAAACTGAGCTCAGCGACCTAAAATGTTATCTGGTATAAATTTCCGAGCAAAATCTGTTGGTTTTCTTTTACTTAAAAAATACTGAAACAACTTTCGCACACATTATTTTATAACTCCTCACGGGAAGATACTATAAGCCCAAAATAGAAGTCTGGCTCAAATTTTGCAGGTTGGATTCGAATGCTTGCTGAGAAATGTGGAGGGGGAAAAAACACAATTTGTACCTGAACATTTGGAAATGTGTTATTCGTGCGATTCCAGTGCGTTAGTTACGTTGGCAATGAATAAAAACGTGTTTCATTTTGTATGATTTAAAATAAACGTGACAATGACTCATTTAGCTTGCTCCTTTTAACCTGTCAATCCTCTCCTTCTGGTTCTTTTTTTTCTTTCTTTCTTTCTTTCTTTCTGGCATTAGTTTTCAAGTTTCTGCATTATTTAACTATTTGAAATAAAGCAGAAAAAATGTTTCGAGAACAAAATCCCATTGACCTGCTTCATAGTCAATCCAACTTAATGGCAATTGCAATGTATCTTCCTGATACATTTTTAACAACATCCAGCTTAAATAAGTAATCGTGATAAATAAACGATGCATTCTTTGTTTTAGGATAGGACTGCAGGGTTTCTCATTTCTAACCCTAAGCTTGTTACTATCTCCAGCTATTTCATTTAGAATAGCTTCGCTTTTAGGAAACTATGATCCTATTTTTAAGAAATTATTTCATTCGCTCTTAAAAGCACGGTGTTATTTTTTTTCCCCTCCTTCTTCTGCTACAGTCTTATCACTTTTCAATTCTCATCTACTGTATTTTTCAGAGTATAAGACACACTTTTTCCCTCCTAAAAGAGGGTAAAAATTTGGGTGTGTCTTACATACCAAATATAACCCCACCCACCCATCGGCCCCCACCCTTTGGCCTCTACCTCCTAGCAAATTGCCTCCTTGCAGCAAACAGCAAACAGCCTTTTTCAGTTTCAGCCTCAGCACAGCCTGATTAGAGGTTTAGAGGTTTTATTCAACTTGTATGCTGCCCTATTCCCGAGGGACTCAGGGCGGCTAACAAAACCGAAGGGAAGGGGAACAATACAAAAGGAAAGGAAACACAAACAAACAACAACACAAAACCAATTTAAAAGGTCTCAACAAGCACACCCATTCGAGTAGGGGATGGAACTCAGCAGCCCCAGGCCTGCTGGAACAG